TGTATATATATATATATATATATATATTTTTTGTCGATTTGCATTTTCCCTCGCAAGGGTCATTTTTTCTCTCCTCTTGGAGCAACATCAAACTCTTTCCAGGCCTCCATCAGCTGATTGACGTCGCCGCGCACGACCTCCCGCAGCTTCGAGGGGCCACATTGCAGCACGCGCTCTACGCCACGCCGCAGCTCCACCCGCGCGGCCGGATGCGCCTCCTGTGGGTTGCAGGGCCGCGGCATGTATGTTTCCTCCGGCACCTTTGCAAATACAGGCGGCGGTGGTGGTGGAATGCGCGAGGCACAGAGCTCCACAACCGCGCGGAACGCCAGTGGCTCATACTGAGCAAGCATCTGCTGTGAGCGGGGAAGCAGCAGTATGTTTTGCCGTCCCATCTCATTGCGCAACTGCGGCCACCCTGTGCCGTGCTCGCGGGCCGCGCTGTCCACGTTCTTTCGCACAATTGCCCGATTCCAGTGCGACTGCTGCTCCACACGGTACCGGGTTTGCGTGCGCATAAGAAAAAACAGACGCTTTAACCCAACCTTCCGCTCTAGGCGGGCCCGACCGCGGAGCATGCTGCGGATGCGGTCCAGCTCCAGCGAGGCCCTGTAGTGGCACACAAGCGGGGTGCGACGAAGCATGCTGGGCCACGCAAACCAACACTACGATGCCCCACACCTTCGCGTGGGAAAAAATGTATGTATGAACTCTCTTTGCCTCTCTGGCTGCCAGCGTGGGTGGGTCCCGGAGACACGCCGCCGCAGCTGCTTAGCAACCGGTGCTGTCCCTCCTTCCTTCTGCGCAACGCCTCGTTTGTGCGTTTTCCGCCCCCGCCCCCTCCACTCAACCGCAAAAAGAAGCCTCACAAGAAAAAAAAACCAACAGTCACACAAGCGGCAGACATCCGATGCAAAAAGACGAGTGCTCACGGGTCAGGTGCTCCCAGAGACTGCGGCCACCGAGGTGCAACAACGCAACGGGAGAGGCGAAAAATAAAAAGAAGGGAAAGAAAAGAAAAGAC